TGGGATGAGCCTGTCGCCAGTGTGTCTCAGCGCAACCTTCGTGGCCCCAGAATGTTCAAGGGCTTCCAGGTGCCCAAGGCGGCCGCAGGGGGTGCGGGACCCTCGTGGGAGCCCACAGAGCGGATTGGCCTGTGTTGCCCAATGGGAAGGGCACGGTCTGCAGACTCAGGCCCGAGTCATTTTGGCTTTTATTTCTAAGCTATTTTGCCTCCCCTCTCTTACAAAAATCACTGCTTGTTTTGTTTTTTAGAGCACTTTGTAAAGAAACAGTCTTGGAGCTGGCCATCTATAGGTAGCCCACAACAATCATTTGTAATAAATATCTCTAAATAGTTCCAAAATGTGGATTTTTAAAATGGGATTCATAATGTTGCTATACATTATAATTATATGTTCGGATCAGGCAATTATCCACATTTCCAGTAATTATGTGATTAGTGATAATTACCTTAGCTGTGTAAATATACAATAGTCAACTAGACAAGTCTTAAAACTCTGTAGCATAAATGAATCTTCTGGAACAAAGTGCTGATGTCAGAGATCAGAGATGGGATGAAGCTTCACAGAAGTTACTTGCGAGGGGTGAAATGCATTTGCCTCACTGGGGCCCCTGCCTTCCCTGGTCACCTGGTCACCTGGTCATNGCGAGGGGTGAAATGCATTTGCCTCACTGGGGCCCCTGCCTTCCCTGGTCACCTGGTCACGGCTTTCAGATCAGTTTGGAGGCACAGAGCCTCACTTTCTACAGAATACAGTCGGATCAAATGTTTCATTAATTCTCTGTTGGTTCGCACCTGTAAAATGCCGACTTAAGCACCCCAGGGCCCTGGGTGCCATGTCCATCCTTCAGCGACAGGTGGTATCTCGACAGCCTCCTGTCTTCCCTTTGTGCTCGTATCGCGTAGACAGAGGCTGCCTCGCACCTGCCACCTGCCCGTTTGCTACTGTACAGGGCACGTGGGGGGCTTCCGCCCTGATGTGGATCACCCGCATGAGTTACTTCAGTGGGGGACACTGGAGGGACAGAAGGAAGATTTAAAGACAGAAGCTGTTTTTAAGTGTAAATTCTGAAACACTTGACAGAAACAAACCAGCCGCCTGTACACACTGAAAAGTAGGAAGTGGGACTCCTGGGCCTGTTTTTGGCCGTCTCTGCCGGAAGACAGTGTAACCCACTAACCTCAGCACCGTCCCCGGAGACAGTGCCTGTGGCGGCCAAGGGGTGGCCACTGTATCCTGGGCTCCATGCAGGGCACCCCGGGAGTTTCTTATTTCCGCCTTGGCTCTCGGGGCTGGCGACGAGATGCCCTAAAGTTGGCCTGGCTATACCCTGAGAAGACGACACAGCCCAGCCATCAGGGGACAGTGAGGCCCAGCGGCCTTCGTGTGAATCCAGCCTTTAGATTGGCCAATTTCACCATATACCCAATTTTATTTATTTTTTCTTAAGAAAAGAAGTGAGGGTTTGACCCCAGAGGTGCACTTCTATTTTCCATTCTTTCCGAGGGGTTTCCCGTCATTGGTTTGACTAGAGCTCGGGGGCAGTTTGTCTGAGGACTGGCTGCTCCATGGAGGGCTCCGCGGTCACCCCTCCCTGAGGTTCCTTGCTCCTGGAACCAGCTGGATCCACTGCAGAGTTTTCAGGAATCGGTGCCTTATGTTGCACGGGAATCGAAGAATTGGCTTCGAGAGGGTGTCGCTTCTAACCCCAAGGTCACCGTTCCGATAATTGCGCCTGATCAGCTCTATCTTGGGGTTGTCTGCAAACGAACCCCCTTTTTTTTAATTTGTTCCTGTTTTATTACCCTGTTTTATTATGTTAGCACAATGAAAAGGCTTTTATCTTTATTATTATTTTTTAAATATATTTTTTCTTGATTTCTGAAGGAGAGGGAGAGAGAGAAAAAAGCATCAGTGATGAGAGTCATTGATCGACTGCCTCCTGCACGCTCTCTACTGGGGATCAAGCCCACAACCCGGGCAGGTGCCTTGATGGGGAATCGAACTTCTATCTCCTGGATCCTAGGTCGATGCTCAACCACTGAGCCACGCTGGCTGGGCCAGAAGATGGCTTTTTACTTTATACAGCTTTCTGTAGTGAGGGTCTTTGCAGAATTGAAAGTTAAGCCTCTGAGACTCTCCTGTTTCAGAAGTTGGCCCCTCTTGCTTTATTAGGTCAACATGAGGTTTTCAGAGAAGTGGTCCTTTCCAAAGAACTCCAGTGAGCCGAAAAATCTGCCCGTGTGAACAGTGCGGGTCCAGTCACAGGTGTTTTTTACCGAACATGGGAAAAGCCTGCCATCATCTTTGGCGGGCTGCAGGGCCCAGGCCACATGAGTTTGGGTGGCTGCCAGGGGGGCCGGGTTGGGAATGGGTGGATCCGGAACCCGGGCCTCCTGAGCTGGTCAGCCGCCCTGGCACCACTCCTCCAGGCCAGCTCAGAACCTGTCTCTGCTTTCCTTCCGATTACTGGGTGCACATCCTTCTGAGTAGCCCTGCTTCAGAGCTTGAACTGAGGTCTAGGATTCCGGAGGCTGGGTGAGTCACCACCAGACAGTTCTCGCTGTCACACGTCTCTGAAGGGGCCTGTCTGAGCTGAGAGTGGGGTGTCTTAGCATGATTGCCACCTGCTGTTAGGTTTTTTTATTACAAGAAGAAAGGAGAAGGAACCGGAGTCAGGGCTGATACTGAGGCTTAGGCACTGCCATCCATCAGCAAAGGCCAGGGGCCCGGGTCGGACAGGAGCTCAGGGCACCCCATCTTGAGGGCTTGGAGCAGTCGTCTCTTTAGCAGTTACTGGAGCCCCATTCAGCTCAGAATTCTGGGAAGCAGGGTGCTGGCTTTGGAGCTTGGCTGGGTCCCCTGCCCTGTGGCCCTGGGCAAGGCCCCCAGCCCTGCCCTCCCCAGCATCTGGGATGTGACGTAATCATACCTTCCAGTTGAGCCAGAACACCTACCTCGGGGCCTGGCACCTAGACATCCAATACATGTTGACTCCTCACATAAACACCCTGTGAGACAGACGCCGTTTGTGGGCACCTCTGCGGGCAGGGCTGCTACTGTGCGTCCTGCACAGCAGCCACGTTCTCTGGCCAGTGGAGGAAGGGAGGTGGCAGCGGAGTCCCCCACCTAGGGCCTAAATAAAAGGCCCGAAACTGGGAGAGGGGAGGTGAGAAGATGTGAGCTGGGGGTGCCCGGGCCCCTCCAGGCTGTGCCCTAACTGATACCCCAGGCTTGTCTCCATGCAGACCCCTCTCGTGCTCATCCTTGGAGGGGCGGGACCGCCCGTCTCTGCGGCCCTTGGCCCCGGGAGGGGAGGAACCCTGTGAGCCGGGTCCAGGAGACAGAAGCCGTTGGAGGCTGGGCCTGCTCACCACCAGCTCCCCGCCGCCCAGCGGTGCCAGGAAGGTCTGCTGTAACCAGATAGTGCTGTTTCCATTTAGTCAGGGCTCTGTTACGTTTCCCTGCCTTTTTAGATGTATCTTCTAAGTGAACACATCCTCGGGCTGTTGGGGAGATGTGTAAATATTGTCTCGTGTGTGGCCCGGCCTTTCGGCTGTGATTGCGAGGGTGCCAGCAGCGGAATGGCAGGACTGGCGCCAGCGGCTCCCTTTGTACATGGAAACCCCGCGTTTCCCTGGGCGCTCGCCCTACCCTTTTCCTGCAGCCTCAGCGGTGGAGGGGCTCGGGAGAGAACTGGGGCCTATGTGCTGCCTGCCAGCCCGTTTTATCAGATAACTTGAGGCCTTGTTGGCATTTTGGGTCAGAAATGGGGGCCAGTGTTCAAATAACGGACTGGGTTCCCTGGGTCACGTCCCCAAACAGGACCTGGGCCAATTCCTCAACAGTCGGTCGGTGGTCACAGAGCTCCGGCTTTGGGGGACCGGCCCATTTTAGGGGAATAGTGTTGGTTTTAAAGAGATTTTGTTCCAGATTATACTATGTATTGATCTGGGAGACAGGCAGGGCACTGCCCTTTAAAACCATCTTGCGGTACCGTGTGCCTCCAGTTCCTGGAAATAGATCTGTGCCCGCTTCCCCCGTCAGGAAGTCTTCAGTATTTCTCACATCAAAAAGTGTCTGAGTGACTGGCACTGTCTGAAGATTCCAGCTGAGTCTTAGACAGAGACGCGGGTGAAGGCGGAACGCTCCGAGGTGTAACGGCCTCAGATGTGCGTGTTATCTCCTATTGAAGTGGAACAGCACAGCCGTCTCGCTTCCCGACGCCCAGCTTTTGTTTGTATCGACACCTTGGTCATGGAGACCCTGCGGTGGGAGGAGCAGACCCATGTGGGGTGTTGCTTCTCGGGGACCCTGTTATAGGGAAGGTCTCTAGGCTCCTCTTTGGGGTGGTTCTTAGGCATTATTTGACCTAAGTCCTGAGTGGGCTGTGAGATCTTGATCCCTGGGACCTGGAAAATGTCCCCGAGGTCTAAGCCAGGCCTGCGGCTGGAGTTATGCTCCCCTTTCAGACAGACTGAGAGGGAGACACTTCAGAGGCAGCCGCTCCCCGGTTTTGCTTCCGTACCGGCCGGATTTAGCTCTTGGCCTCTGCCGCAGTCTTAGATGGTGAATTCCAGGCCGCGCACAGGTGGTTGTGTTGTGTATTCTGGTGGTTTTTCCCCTGGAGGTGGGAAGGGATGGTTTTTATGATAATGTAGAGAGGCTCCCTTTGGACTCAAACATGTAACTCATCGGATTCATCGCCAAGGGGGCACCTCAGGGCCAGATTTTGGGATTGGCGAAGCTTCGACTGCAGGCCGGGCCGTGTCTCGGGGCACCTCGTGCTCTAGGACTGCGTGAGATTTGGTCTTTTCATCCTGCCTGGCTGTTCACGTTTAATTTGTCCTTAGCTGTGTGCAGTGGATTAACATTTCATCAGGGTGGATTAAGATTGGATGGACATTAAAGCTGTCTTTTCCTATTTTCCTTCTGTCACTTTTAGGCGATCGGAGGCAGGGGTGGGGACAGGCCTCTTCATGGTGGGAGGGGCTGCTCAGCCAGAAAGCACCCTGGTGAGGCCGAGGGAGATAAGCCAGAGCCTCAGTGTGGAAATAATTCCCACTGGCAGGTCGGGAGGCCTTGGACGGAGCCACAGCGGCTTCTTCAATCTGGATGTGTCACATGGAACAAAAGCTGTAGGGGTTTTATTTAGCTCCTAATCCGCTGAGCGAGCCTCAGCCCAGGGCCATGTGAGCCCAGCAGGCGGGGCTGTGGACTGGGGCAGCCTCCTCTCTGGAACTGAAAAGAAAGGACCTGTCCACCACTGCTGGGGAGGGAGGCAAAGGTCCCGTGAGTACTGTGTGTTGCCCTCTAAGGTTTCGAGGATTAATAATTTAGGCTGTCCTTTGCAATAGGAAACCTGCAGTCGGTTGTTCCTGCCAGCTTGAGAGGGCTCGACACAGCCGCTCGGTTTTTTGATGTATGTAATTGAAGATTTGTACGTAGAGACCTCCTCTGCCTGGGCCGCATCGCTCTGTGCCCATGCCCGTGCCCAGCAGGCATGTCGGCATCGGCCGTTCTCAGAGCTGGGATGCTGGCAGCTGGTACGAGGGCCCCTGGGAGATGGCTGAGGCTCCGGGCCGGAGCAGCTCCCTGACGGATGGAGGCAGAGAGGGGCCCTGGTACGAGGCCGCGCCCGACCTGTGCCGCGAGGCCTTCTACAGTGCGGTTGCTGGCAGGAAGAGCTCCGTCCCCGACTTCACCTTTTACGACAGCAGGCAGGCGGTGATGTCTGCGAGGGCTGCCCTTCTGCCGCGGGATCACTACGGCGACCCTCCTGGAGCCGCCCAGGTGCCTAGGGAGCTGCGCCACCACAGGGACCCCGGAGCTGGCCGCTCGCTGCCCGGCTATGGTGTGCTCGGCAACAGGGTGACTTGGGAGCAAGTGCAAGGCCGGGCCCCTGCCCCTCAGGACACAGCTCACCTGTACCGGGATCCCGCAGGTAAAATGATCTCTCTGGGGCAACGGACACAGAGCAGGGCGCCATCGCCCGCGCGCTATGCCGGGGAGCTGGCCCACGGCAGGTACGGGGCGGAGGCGCCCAGCTACCCCACTGGGCAGGTCTACAGCGAAGTCGGTGAGAGGCCTGTGGACCCTGCCCCCCCCAGGCAGGCGGCACCCACGTGCCTGGTCGTGGACCCCGCTGGGGCTACTGCCTCTGAAGGAGGCCCAGGGGCGGCCCTGGGCACCCTAAATCGAGGCTACGGGCAGGAGAGCATTCCCTCCAAGATGACTTATGAGAATTGTGAGGCCGACCTGACCTTCCAGGGGCCCGCAGGCAAGAGGAACGCGCCGCCCGAGTTCCTGGCCCTGCTCCGGGCCGAGGGGGTGGCGGAGACCACGCTGGGGGCCCTGCTCCAGCAAGGCTTTGACTGCCCGGCCGTCCTGGCCACGATGGAGGACGCCGACATCAAGTGTGTCGCCCCCAACCTGGGCCAGGCCCGCGTCCTGAGCCGCCTGGCCAGCAACTGCAGGACCGAGATGCAGCTGCGGAGGCAGGCCCAGGGGGGGCCCCTGCCCCGGACACGCTCCAGCAGCTTCAGCCACCGCAGTGAACTCTACGGCGACCTGTCTTCTCTGGGCGCCACTGGCCTACAGCCCCAGCCTGTGGGTCCCCTGCAGGCAGCCCCCCCTCGAGCTGGAGACCCGGCTCGCCGCCCCTCCAGTGCGCCCTCCCAGCACCTTCTAGAGACAGCAGCCACTTACTCTGCCGGGGTGGCCGCCCAAGCCTCCCACTTCCCCTCCAACTCCGGGTACAGCTCTCCCACCCCTTGTGCCCTGACGGCGCGGCTGGGCCCCACGTACCCCCCGCAGGCAGGAATGGCCTTGACGAACCCGGGCCCCGGGCCCCCCCTTCACCCAGGCCCCAGAACAGCCTACTCCACGGCGTACACGGTGCCCATGGAGCTGCTGAAGCGGGAGCGGAGCATGGCCGTGTCGCCCCTGCCCAGCCCCCACGGCGGCGCCCAGCTCCTGCGGAAGCCTGGCGTCCCCCTGGAGCCGTCCACCCTGTCACCAGCCAACCAGAGCCTCCACATGCCTCACTCGCCCTACCAGAAGGTGGCCCGGCGGACGGGGGCCCCCATCATCGTATCTACCATGCTGGCTCCAGAACCAAGTAACGCACCCTCCCCGCACTCCCTTAGGGACGTTGAAGGGACAGTGGGGCAGGGGTCTGAGCACAGGACAGTGGGCCCTGGCGTGCTTGCTGCTCTCAGGCCAAGCCCGGAGAGGCCACACACACACAGACACATCGCACACACGCTACACACGCACCACGGCCAGCTCCCCGCCTGGCTGGCTGACACGGGGACTCACTGGGACCACGCTGCCTTCCATCGTCTAGCCGAGCTCAGGTTGATTTGTGGGGTTGGTGCGGTGGTGAAACATGACTTTCTGGGAGAAACTCAGAAATCATTCAGAACAGACCGAAACCAGCCGCTCCTGAGGGCGGCTTTGGAGAGGGGGGTGCTGTCCGTTGCCTTCCGTAAACTGTGCGTCATTCGTCTGCCACGAGACTTGACTGTCCTGTGGAACCGCCCCTCTGAAGGGCTACACTGTATCCGCGCAAAGGGCTACACTGTATCCGCGCAAAGGGCTACACTGTATCCGGGGCGGTGTATGTTAAACAGCCAGGTGTTGAAATCCCCTAGAACTCCGTTTAAAAGCAGGGGCGGCTTGGAGGAGACCGTGGGGACCCGCTTTCTCGTAGGGAAACCATTTCCAAGCCTAGGACAGAGACGAATCCTTGGGTGGTTCTCAGCCACACGCCAGACAAGTGTAATGTGTTGCGTGGGTTTCCCTGGGCGTTGTGGGTAAGCTTCCAGGTGGACACTTAAAATTTTTATTTTAACTCTTAAATCTTTACCATCAGCTTCAGCTGTAAATGTTTTCCTTTCTCCCCTCTGGCTTCCCCAATATAATTTTGAAAAATTGAATCCTTTCTAAATGAGTTTTTTTTTTTTTCTGAATAACTATTATTAGAAGGTGAAGATAGTGGCGTGAAAATCAGGGTAAAAATCCCCCTTAAACAGCAGTGGTGGGTCCTGGGAGCCTGACCCGGCGGCCCTGAGCTCCTGCGTTAGGCTCCGCTCTCAGAGGAGAGGGTGGAACTGGTGGTGTTTTGGCCGCAAACAGACTGAAGTGCTGAGGGTCGGGGCCGGTGCAGCTCCCGGCTCTTCTCTTGTTTCCGGGGGGAGACTGAGGGACTGGCTGGATTTTTCCGTTGTCTCTCACTATAGATTCTGGTGTTTGTCTCATGTATGGGTTTCTTTTTTTAAGTCCGATCAGACCGTTTTCTTGCCTTTTTAAAAGAAAGAACCCATGTGTGACAGGAGAGAAGTCAGATAATTTTTCCTCGGGCCTGTGCAGCCTCCCTCCCGGTCAGACATTCTTTCTTTGCAACCAACTCATTTGCATGGCGATGACATTTGTTGCTCCAGTAATTTCATCTGATAATGGCCGGGCTTGCGAAGCGGGTCTGAAAACATAGTCCTTAATTATGCGTTGCTAAGCAACGGGAGGGTCTGGTCATCATCCCAGGAAGAGGATCGCCGAAGTCCTGGAAAGGTTTTGCAGAAGGGGGACCTGCGGACTAGCCCCGTTTTCTTCTTTCCTGCTAATTTTGCTCGGCCTCCTAGCGAGGTCCCTGTTCGGCTGTGGGGCGCAGGGTGCTGTTTATTTAAGTTGTCGGGCAGGTGATGGTCAGCGCGCTGTTTTTCGGACCAGCAGATATTGATTGTGTCGTCTTCATGGCAGCGAGCCGGTGCCAAGGGAGCCGGAAGTCGGCCAGCAAATAAATGTCTCTGTCAGACGCTCTGTCCTGGAGCTGTCGCTGTCCTTCTGTGTGTCGTCACGACCCTCCCCATACTCAGGCCGCCCCAGGAGCTCTCAGCCTGTGCAGAGGGCGTCTTGCGGGGCTGGTGCGGAATCAGCAGCCAGGTCTGGGTCTCTTGGGACCTGCCCTGCTCCTAGCGAGTCCTTTTGCCCCCAAGAGGACACTTACACTGAAGGGAAGCACCCCAGGCCTCAGGTCCAGAAACCTGAAGCCGGGCCGGCAGCCCCACCCCGCGGCGGAGCCCAGCCAGCTGAGCTGGAATGGGAGGCCGCAATCTAAATCTAGATCTGGCCACCGGGGTCACTGGGGGCACAACCAGCATGAGAGGCTTCACCTTGGTCTTCACCTGACTCACCTGTTTCCTCCGCATCGGGAGGGGCAGGAAGCCGAGGAGGCGGAGGCTGCTCTCCCTCTGGAGTGGAGGCACCTGTGTGTTTACGGCGGGTGCTGGCTCATGTGTACCTGCCTGGTTGTAGCCGCTCGCGAGTTGGGGGTGTTCACCTGAACTACCTGCTTTGCCCTGGTTGGCTTTCTTGGTACAAATAATGGGCTTCTGTTTGCTAGAACGTGGGTTGGGCAGCTCAGGGTGGCCGAGTGACAGCCCAGGTGGCTCTCGCCGGCGATGCCACGGAGCCCTCCCTGTGACGAAGCAGCAGGCATAGCCTGTGCACAGCAGTGCTGAGGCCTTTTTCATACTTTTGCCCCAAAACCCAGCCAAGCACAGGCCACCGAGGGCTCAGCCAAGGAGCAGCTCCAATGCTCCGAGTTTCAGATCCTGGAACTGCAGCCCCAGCCCACTCTCTCACTGCAGTCTCCTCTTTCCTTCCAGCCATTTCTCTGGGTGCCGCTGGATTCATGGGGTGCAGCTTTGACCCCCATCTAGTCACCAGGGATGCTGCCCAAGGACCCCTGGGCAGGGCAGGCGGTGGTTTGCAGCTCCTTACGTTGGGGCTTTGGACCCAGAGCTCGGCTCCAGAACCACCAGGCAACCGTAGACGGTGTGGTTAGGCCTGGGGGGGGGCAGGGCACTGCTTCTCTGGGACTCTCTGGGGCACTGCCCAGGTGTTTTCCTGCAGAGTGGCATTTACTTCCAAGCTCAAGAAATTCCAGCCTCATGGAACAGGAAGGGGACTCCCCCAGGGCCACCCAGTGGGACTGTCCGCCTGGCCTGGCTGTTTCCTGCAAAGCCTCCCTCCCACGCTGAGCTCAGGAGGAGCTGTGTGCTTCCAGGGTGCCTACGGCTCAGCCTTTCCAAGCAAAACACCTGAAACGCATCTGGCATCAGGAAAATCAACAGGCCTCCGTGTTGCTTTTGTGCTGGGTCACTGAGCCTGTGTTTGGAGTCAGACGTTGCTCTTTGGTTCATTGTTTTCTGAAGTCAGGGTGCCCCGACTCCCCCTGCCCCTGGCCTTCGCGTTCAAGGCCCTGGATATGGCTGTACCCCGCCGCTTCGGGCCCCCCTGATTCCTGCCCCCTGTGGGGGCCCACGGGCTCGATCTCATTAAACCCGCGTCGCAGCTGCTGCCTGTTTCCCGGGGTGGGGGTGACCGTCTCCCACCCTCTGTGCCCGGAAGGTTGCACCTGGGTCGTTTCCTCCTACACGCTGACCTCAGAGCCTGGCCTTGGTGTTGCCCCTGGTTCTTGTAGCTGGTTTCACTGGGCTGACTTCTGAGCTCCTTGGTTCCCTCACTGGGCTCCTGGACCCACAAAGTAGTTGAATGTGAGACTCGGAAGCAAACAATCTGCTGCTGTGCCGACTTGTCAGGTTTGGGTGGGTGGGCCTTCTGCAGCTGACTGTGACTTCCTTTCGGGGGTGCCTGCCCTTCGGGAGGGATCCCCAAGTCCAAGAGGAGGTGGTGATTCTTGCCAGTTGAAGGGGGCTCTGCCTGGGGAGTTGAATGCTGTGCCCAGCAGCCGGGCAGGGGCCGGGCAGTTCTCCCTCCAGCCACAGTGCTTACAGCTGACCCCTCCACCCCGCCAGCTCCCCCGGGGCTGTTCTGTTCTGTGCTCTTTATCTGAAGGAACGAGGGGACTTTGTGATGGGTTTGCTGTTTCCCTGTGAGCCGGGCTCTGAGCCTGCAGTGCTTTAGGAGTCGTTGGATTTCAAGCAAAAGTTACAGAGGCAAAGAACAGGGAGGGGACGTCGGACCAGCTGTTGTACTTGGAAAATCGGCTTCCGGCTCCTCTGGGGCCTGAGGGCGGCACACTTGGCTGCCAGCCACCGGACAGCAAGCCTGTCAAAGGGTCCTTAAGAATCACTTTTCTTCTTGGTTTTAGGGCCACGGGAAAACTGAGCCTGCTAAAAGCCTTGGGCTTGTTCTGTCTCCATCCCGGCCTCAGTGGCAGGGCAGGATTTTGTGTTTCTGGGTCTGCCCCGGAGCCTTCGGGGGGAGGGCTTGCTGTCTGTTCCTCAGGGCCTTGGTCCCCCTAATCCCAGGAGACCAGCCCGGGCTCCGGGTGGCAAGTCCTGGGTCCCAGCAGGACCTTGGTGAGACTCACCTGCAGGGAGGGGCGGGGTGGTTCCTGGCTGCTCTGGTTCTTGGGACAGCCAGGCCTCTGCCCTGCTGGCTGCTGCTTCCTGTGCTTCACAAGAGTGGGGGTGTCCTCAGCCTGTCAGGGACTCTTCCAAGGGCTTCCGTGGCCCCACTGTACCCAAACAATCCACCGCTTCCATCCCCCTAGACCGCACCAAAGTCCCCGCTGGGCGTGAGGACCCTCTAAACCCATGTGTAGGGGGTCAGGGTAGGCGAGTCTGGCGTTAGCGGGCTGACTGTGGGTCCCAGGGTCCCTTTGAAGTCCCGTCAGTCCTGCAGGAGCCGGGAACACGGCCGGTCAGTGGGTTTGCGGCGTCTGCCTCCGCCAGGTCCCTCTGGCATCTTCCTTCTCATCTTTATTTCATTTCGTTTTTCTCAAACATCCCGTGTTGGCTCTGGCCAAGCAGCAGTGGGTTCCCTTGACTGGCTGAGCCCTGGCTTTGCAGGCAGGGTCCTCTCAGCCAGCAGCCTGGGGGCCCCCTTTAGTCCTCAGTAAGTTCGTACTTGATTAGCTGTAGTCTGGCCGAGTCCTCCACACAGGCTTGGAGGAGCTGCCCTGGAAGAAGGGTGTGGGGGTGTCATCTGAGCCCCTTGGTAAAAGGAAGTGCGGCTGGTATGTGTTCCAGCCGGAAGGGGCAACTGAGGTGGTCCCCAGCCCATGCATAGGATACCGATCACCATCCCTCCGGGGACTGTCCCCCAAGCTGAGAGTCGTTAGCCTCACCTGGAGGGGAAGCCAGCGGGACCCCACACCTTGGGACCAGCTGTTCCCAGCCCAGCGGCTGCAGCCCTTACTCCCAAGCCGCGTCCCTCCTGTGTTCCAAGACCACCCACGTGAGGCCGGGCCTTTGGGGAAGTAACATTTTACCATAAATAGAAGCAGAACCTGGGTCCTTGGCTGCTCTGCGGCAGAATGTGCTCAGTTTGGTGACCTCCTTTGTGGCTTGTTCCTGCTGGTCAGTCTGGACGGCCTTTCATGCTGTGTTTGAGTGGGTGCTGGTCCGCCTGCCCCTGGTGGGAGGAGAGCACCTGCTCCCCGAAGCATCCGGTGCTTCTCCAGGGCAGAGGGACTGACCAGGCCACAGGAGGCTCCCTGGGTGGAGGCCAGACGCTCAAAACCAGGAGCCACCTGGGAAGGCAGCGGCCTGTGTGCGTGTCTAAAGGAACGATTGCAAGCCAGTGACAAGTGGTCCTTGGTTTTAAGTTCTGTTGGGAAAAGGAGACGTTTCTGTCCCTTCTCTCCGTTTGAGGTTCCCATGTGGTGTGGACTCTGCGAGGTCCAGGCCGGGGAGCAGCTCCCGGGCGGCTCCAAGGAGCCAGGTAAACGCGCAGTGAGTGCTTGTGTTTCTGGAGGCGCAGAGGTTCTGCTGCCCTGGACACGTGGTTTCCACCAGTCTAGACTCTGTTTCCTCTTAGCCGGCTCTCTGTCCACCTGTTACCTGAGCTACAAAGCAGGCGGCCTGAGAGCCTCTTGCTGGGTGACCGTGACTCATTCAGACCCATGTTTTACTTAAGAAGCTAACCTACTTATCATGGCCTTCCTTCCAGTAGCCATGTCCCAACTGAGCCTCCAGCTGACTTTGCAGAGAATACGAAAATCAGAGCTGGGGAGTGGCTTAAACCAGGCTCGCCGAGGGCACACCCAGCCTCCTGGGGGGCCTCTTAGTGTGGGTCACCCCAGTAGCCCATCCCCTGGGTGCTCAGTGGGCCTGGCAAGGCCAGATTTCCCCCAGTGGCTTGACTGACATGTACCATGCAGTGGGCATTAGTATACCCACAGCTCAGGAGAAGAGCCTGACCTTGGGAGACCAGACTGCTGGCTTGAATTTGACTGGATCACAGTGCGTAGGTGGACGGGGCCCTCTTGGGCTGGGGGGAGGGGCATGTGGCTCCTGTCCCTTTCTTCATACAAGCAGACCTGGGCGGTGGCCCAACTAAGCTTTATCTTATCCCCAGTGCTGGGGGTCTCTTGTGGCCCCCTAAGAGCTTGGTCCTCAGCAGCCCTCCACTGGGCTCCCCATAGCTCATGCAGGACACATGACTCCCGCCCACTCCCATCTGTCCCCGCTCAGCATCCTTCCCCACCAAGCCCCTCTGAGCAGCACACCTTCACCCCGTGCATCTCCGTTTCCTGCCTTACATCCAGTATCGGAGGCTGGGGCCTCAGTTGGGAAGCCCATGGTATCGTGGACCAGCCCCAGCTGCCTTCTTGCCTGGCCTGGACAAGGGCACAACCTGAGTTTCACCAAAGAGAAAGGTGACCCAAGTCGGGAGGGAGGCGATCGCTAGGCAACCTGGAGTTTGTTTCCTGGGTAACGGGATGCATGCACTGACGCTGTGGATGGATGGACATCTTGTGGTGCCAGCCCCTCAGCCTCTCCAGATGCCTGCCTGGTGCCCGCTGTTGTTGTGTGGTTGCTTTCTAATTAACAACTTGGATTTCTTATCATGATCGTGAACTCAGCAAACATGATCCGATTAACCTTCTTTCCAGTGCCCCGGGAAGTCATGTCGGAGTGCTCCTCCCCTTGCGGGAGGGACCCCCTTAGCCGAGTGAGCTCATCTGTCCACAGGTCTAGGACCACCCGCCCCGTGGGAGCTGGACCCTGGGCATTGTGCCTGGGAGGGAGGAAGAACCTGGTGGGAGGGAGGAAGAACCTGGTAGGGAGCCCCCGTCCCGCCGGGCGCAGGGATGTTGGGGCCCATCTACACTCTGGAATCTGCTTTGGGCCTCGGGATCCTGTGGAGGCAGGTGGAAGAGCCCTCAGCACTGGTCACATTGATCACATCGTGTGGGACAGGCCACGTTGCCCGCCCACCAAGCCCTCCCCGGCTCCTCGCAGGTATCCGCCCTCAGATCATGAACGGCCCCCTGCACCCCCGCCCCCTGGTGGCACTGCTGGATGGCAGAGACTGCACTGTGGAGATGCCCATCCTGAAGGACCTGGCCACTGTGGCTTTCTGTGATGCACAGTCCACACAGGAGATCCACGAGAAGGTGGGTTTCCTCCCACTCCCGCCTCAGGTCTCCCGTCCTGTCCCTCTCATCTCCCCCCAAACAT